TTTATGTCATTTTTATCATTTCTCTTTAAAGTCCTGCAAGGTATGGTTTTCTTAAAAAAGAAAAGATTTACCAAAGCTATAGCCATGCCGGAAACAAACAGTTTTATATATGTACGGGGATCGTTAGGATATATAACTAACACCATGACATGATCTTCTTCTTACTCTTGCTGTATATTTGGTTTTAGACTTGAATTATCTTTGGACAATCGTGTATTGATGTTCATGACAAGACCAATTTTAGCGACTGTAGTTAACCACAAAAAAAAAAACCATTAAAACTGAGCAATGCTTGTATTTAGCTAAATGAACGTGTTCTTAACATTTCACGTATCTGTTTATGACGCATAACCTGAAATTATCCAATAAGATTGATTTAATTTGATCAACTAACAAATATTAATTTCCTTATTCTGTTTGTCACGAAGCATTGTCTGTCCAAATTGAGTGTAACTGTTTCATTGTGGGAATACATAAACTCTATTGACTTACCATTGTACTTAATAAGAACTCAAGTTATATGAAAATATTTGAAAAATATGAAAAATAAATAAATCAAAATTACAAAATTCCTACCATATGATAAAAAACATGAGCACATATAATTATTAGTACAAATTAAAGTTGAATCGTAAATTATCTTCTTTTCTAAGACAGCCAACGAGGACGCAATCCTGTTTCAATGAATATCTTCAACTTGCATCGTAAACCTTTGTCCAGGATGACTTCAGATAATCTGAAAGTGTTATATGTTTCAGTGATACACTCCTAGTTAATCCGATCACCTAGATGCATAAGTATTCTTGACACCATGATCTAACGGAATTGCATTATGTCGATCTAATGCAATAGGCGGACAACGCTCAGTGTCAGTAAGGGCATATACTCCCTTTATTAAAGATGCATTAAATCCTCTATCACTCTCCACAACACATCTAAAACCGCTCCTTGCAGTCGACGAAAGCCCTATAACGATACTTAACCCACATTTCACGCAATTAGGCATCTGCTAGATTCACGTTTAAACAATCTTCGAAGTTTTTATACCAAAATGATGTAATATTATTCAGGATGCAACGAGTAGTTGTGCAAATTATCTTCGTCGAAAATATTTTGGGAAAAAATAATTTTCGGTAAAATATGCTTTTAAACTTTTTAAAATCCATGTTTCAAACGCTTTTATTGTCATAACAGATTAATCAGGGTATTTTGGGCGTTATTTCAGTGTGATATACCTAAATTGCTTCACTGTATGGTCTACTAGTCAATGAGCACGTGATTTTGTCTACAATCATACAGTTTCCTATGCTTATGCATGTCTCTGCCATGTATCGAGGTCATCATATTTGTCATGGATAACACTTAACATCAAACTTCGGGAGGAATAAATGGAGCATGTATATGCTATTCGCTGTTGTCAAATAATAAAGAATATAAAATTCTTTGTGAACATGGAATATATTCAATTTCATGTTTGAGTTTAGGTATCGTGCATCAGGCATGAGGAGAGGCAATCACAGGTTCAGACGCCGCAATTTGCAATAAGAAAACAAATTAATAAATAAATAAAAAAATAAGATACAACGCTTTTCCCTACCCATTGATTCATTATATCCGGTCACTGAAGCAAAATACGGGTGACTTGATAATTGGAAATGAATTTACTATACAGACATACATGTTGAGTGTTTTGCCATTCACATTAAGTGAACAACAAGGATAACATAGTTTTAGAATTTAACGTTCATATCATGTTACATAAGATGCACTTCCTAATATCACTTTTTTGTGTTATTTTAACGATTACGTTATGAATGCATCTCTTGTTTGCACCAATTCCGCAATATATTTGAGTTTGCGATCAATGTTCATTGAAATTTGAAGCACAGTTGTGTATCCCGCGATGAATAAATTATTTGCAATCAAAAGAATCGTGTTCTTTGTTGCGAATAAAATTTAAGCTCGTTTGAACAAATTACATAGAATTTCCACTATGGTTTCTCATACGTCTGTGTTCTTTAGGTTCGGCATTATTTATGGATGGTGTCAAAGGTCAGATGCCCTGTTAAATTATCTTTTAATACCGCGTTGTTTCTTTTTCGGGCACATTTACATCTCAAATGTAGGACTAGTATTTAATACTAGCGTTGTGTTTGGCTTTTCCGCAGTCGTGTGAGGCTTCCGATATTTTGGTGTACAGGGATACTAAAGCATGGATCTTAGCCAAAGAAGATTAATCATTAATGCCAACGTGGATGCCGTTCTAACAGTCCAAAGATACATTGCATTTGTAATAAAGCGGGTTACCTCCATATCATGACACGGCGCACTTTTCAAAATAAAGCATTAACTTTCAAAATATCATCTTCATTATCGACTACAGGGGAAAAGCACGGTTTTATCTACCATGATGTGATACTAACGAACTAGTCTAGAAAGTGCATCTGAAACAATAAAACGTGATATATAATGGCATACTAAAAAGAAGACTAGGTATTTTTATTTCAGTTGCAATGAAATGTCTGTTGTATAAAGTTTTCTTATGTAGTGGCGTTGATTTCGCTGATTTCATGTGTCCTGTCTCATATAAGTTCACACGGTACGGCAATATATTCTTATTAATACATCTGCGTTATCTGTGATGCTTATTTATAAATTCATGACGTCACAACTAAATCCTAAGTGACAATAACACAACGGATTTCATTTTCAGTTTTAATGGTAACTTGAGAACACAAAGTTCCAGACATGATGAACTTTCTGTACGTATTAGGTTTACACGTTATTAATGATTCGCTATTAAGTGCGTGTGGACTGAATCAGAATTTTTTGGATAGACTTGCCTTTTAACGCAGCCATGTTTCGAAGCTGAGAGATTTAATATAAATAACCTCTTAATGATAATATGGTTTTCAAACGGTCGACGTTTGGGGGCATCATTTATAAATACGGACATATTATTATTTTTTTAACAGTTTGGTATTTTCTTTATAAAGTACCTTTTTGTTTCTTTTTTAATTTTTTTCGGAAATGAAATAATCTTTAAATTTCCACTCAAAAAAATCTTTTTGTATCAATGTATGAGAACTCTCCATATTTTCTTCAGTATTATTGATTGAAATCCCGAAAAAAATAGAACGAACAGCACACATTGTTGTAATTTGCAGTATATAGCCTGTTACGTAGTTTGTTGCCACCTTAGTGATGGTTTGCGTTTTTTGTTTGTCTGTTTTTTCATTGGAATTGGTGTCTCCTCGATTCCTGTTGCGGCCATTTTATATCGACTTATTTTGTCTCAGTGAATACTAGCGATGTGATGTACAGTAACTTGTTGTATTTCAATAATACTTAGAACAGAATGATATAGCTTTCTCCTTTATCAAATAGTCTTTGCAAAAGAAGTAAACACATGTCAGCTAATGAATTTTGCATGTGGTCCCTGTAAACGGTAGAGCTTCTTCAAGCATACTTTCGAGTGACATTTCTTACGTACTACCATGATTGACTGACGGTTAGATTCATCCAAACGTCTGCCTACACAATACATGTTGAAGCCCTAAATATATCTGCGTTGAAAGTGTTTGGCAAATGCTCAGGTCTATTGTTTAAGCTATGCGTATTTGAAGTTTTATTCAATCCACAAATCAAATATTAAAACTGAAAGTATAAGTAAGAACGACCCCCCCTCCTTCCCCCCTTCCCTCCCCCTTCCCTCCCCCTCCCCCCATAAATTTGCTTTGTCTATTCTTTTCTTATCTGTTAAAACTTTTTTAACAAGTAAACATGAATGATATTTGAAGTTAACGTGTCGAATTTCTTTTAATTTTGATAAAACAAATGCCCCTAGTGTTCCTACAATAGGGAAAGTTGATTTCCTTGTCGCTTTACGCTACGGTTATTCGGTTTCCGGTGTCTCTATACAGTATGGAAAGCACATTTTGGAAAGAATTCGCTACTTGGCGCTTGTAATCTTTTGACAAAAACCTGTTGCTGTGTGCGTTAATTGAAAGAGTAATTCGCTCTGTGAAGAATGATCCGCATGTAGCAGATGTGCAGCTCCTTTGAGCCGTCAAATAATGTAGCGTCTTGTAAAGTTCCACATGTTGATGTCAGGGTAGCCCCATTGACATTTAGATCTCAAGTACATCATGAACGTATCCAATTTTATGGTCCACATTCTGTCACCAAAAGCTGCTGCTTTTAGAGATAAAAACGCTAATAAATGACGTCAAGTTAAATTTTCTCTCCCAGTGGGGAGCTCAACAGTATACTGATCAGCACACGCTCAGCCCTCCTCCCCCTCAGGACAAGTCTCTCTGAAGTTGTTTTGGTACAACAGTGCTACATGTAGAAGGTCAATACTGGGTATCCTGTTCCTGTCGGGTTGTTATCGGGTACTGTGTCAGGCTCAGCAGGCTATTCCAGACTGCGCCCGAAAGTGTTGTCACGTTGTTGACTGTATTGCTACATTTGGTACGTTTTGGCTTGGTTGACTGTTTCTGTCACCTCGTTCCGGGTAAAGTGTAAAGTGAAGTAGGGTGTTGTTGACTAAACCCTCCACCTCTATTAGGTTGTTGTTGGGCACAGCATTAAATGAAGTAGGCTTTTGTTGTTTAACTCTTAATTTGTGTTATACTGGTGGTGGGTGAACATTGCTACCTGTTGCTGAGTAAATACTTCTTTTGTGTACAAGATGTTTCATTTGTCGCCTAGAATATATCTTTAATCGAGAGTGATATACGGTACAATGCCAAGTATGTCCAGTTGTCGCGGCACAATGCAATAGAAACATGATACTGTTTACCAAGTTGCAGCTATTCTATCTCATTCCTTGATTATCTTTTGTTCACAGGAAAAAGAATCCTGGACATTTTATAAACATACCATTTGAAATCAGAAATATATTCTGTACAAAATAAGCTCTGCAAAATGTTGTTGTTCGTTAGCAATTAGTGACGTGTAATGTGGGAAAAAAGCAAGAAAAAACAAAAAAACGTTGGTACTATCTTAAAGTTTTACTCTTTATTATTTGCTGTACTCAATCACCAGCGACTATTCACGTCTGTGTTAATAATAATGAAAATTTCATTCTGTTAATTTAGATTTTACGTATCTGCAGACTCAGAAGATGGTTAGATGACAATATGTACAACCTCTTATTAAACTGTTAAAATATGTTCCTGTATAAAAAACCTAACACTCACTCACAAAATAATAACAAATGTCATACTGACTAGATAAAGGTACAAGTGATAAGTTGCCTTTATTGATGAGCATACTGCATAGACATAGGATACTGTGAAACCAGATATTTTCGTGGGCGCAAATTTTGTGAGTTCTTGAGTACCCACTCAAACAGCTTTATGTCAAACTTGTAATTACTCCTGAACCTACGAATTCGTGGCAGAAAACTACCCACGAAATCAACAAAATTAAAAACCCCATGAAAATGAGTGATTTCACAATACATTGTTGAAACTTCAATGTTTTACGTTTCATCTTGAGGTGATATACGTTGTAGCTCGTGGTCATTCGTGTACAACTAACTTATCATGCGTCACATCGGGTCCTTTAATAGCCTCATTAGCAATTGCAATAGTGCGTTAAAATGTCGTTAACATTTTCAACTAATTAATGACCTAATTCTCCTGTGGGTTATCTAGATGTTTCGAATGTCCATGTCCTCGTTATTATGTGACAAAACAATCTGTTATTATTTCATCTTAATTTGAATGTGCACCATTTTAAACACATCTTTTGGTATCTTATCCCATAGGGACAGAACACTTGCACATATCTCTTTCAGATCATGACTGGCCAAATTGCCTGAGATAATGTTCACCTATTTGGTTTGTATCCCCGACGGCTAAGATTTGCGCGTGAACAATTAGTGAACACAGCCAATCAGCTAATTTACGGCTTACAAATAGTAATTAGCAAAGAATCGGAACTTTAAGCCATTTTCTGGCAAAAATAAAAAAAACAAAAATCTGGCCAGAACATTTAAACGTGCAATTTCCTACAATAGCTTCGTTTATTTCGATATAGAATTTAGGGAAATTATCACACAGATCATTGGTAACGTATATATCACGGAAATACCCAACCAAAGGGAGAGGAACAATTACTTATTGTAATACACCGTACGTTATTTGATTTATATCATAGTAATTAGTTGTGAAACGAAGTTTTCTAAACAAAATACACCTCACTAGGGAAACATTGTGTGTAGGAATGGGACGGTTTACAGTTCTCGTTATACTCCTTCACAAGCATGTGTCTATGAACAGGAACAGTTGCAATAAGAGGCTGTGACATCCGGTTTCTGTGAACTGTGATTCCTGTTATTGGGGTATAAACAAGTCGATCACAATTACGATGACAACACTTTGTACGTTAGCAGCTGAACAAGGCGGTTCGGTGAATTTTTCCCATATCATCAGACAGAGGTTTCCACGGGCCCGACATTAGTGGATCTTGTCCATAACACTTTGATATTTGGTAGACCTCTCTGACCATCAATGCGTATATGTCCCTCGACTGTCTGGTTCGATCAGTTCGATATCTATATATAGCTGTTTATGATGTAACAGTATTAAAAAGCATATGATGTTTAACACTAGGGTGGCACATAGTCAAATGATCGTATACGTGTTATCAGATAACACATACAAAGCGTGTGAGGTGTTTATCTTTGTCTTCCCGTGCTGTTATACAAGCATCATGGGTTACACAAGGAAATATCGCCACTTATACTTTGCGATCATAACCTTGACAAGACTGGCACAATACATAGTTAATCCACTGGTGTATTCAAACGATTGATGATTGTTCCGACAAATTTACTGTGATGTTGTTCAGCGATATCTTTTAGTAGGATTACATGTATAAAACTGTGTCCGAACCTCTCACTGCACTCTGCGTATGGATAAAGACATCCTTGACTACACACACATATACATATATATATATTACAATCCGGTATAACCATGCCCTGTCCTTAAAAAATGGAGCCTTCCGATTACTACAAAGTATCTTTTTGTTATATAGCACATACGTTATTAACAAAATGTTGATAGTTTTGATTATAACACTTTATAAAAACTAAAACAGTTTACATGTATATTTATGTAAACAAATTAAACATTGTTGATAAACTCGGGAGGAGGGGGTCCAAACATGTAATTTAGCTTTCGGTACCCAAACTACTGTTTCTTTGTTTTTTGTGGTCCCTTATTTTAGCTAATATGACAAACTTCACAGGGTATTGATTTTGCAGGTCCAGTGGCTATTGCACATAAAGCTACGGTAAGATTGATATTTTGCTATTTGTTACGCTGACTGTCTTTTCCTTGGAAAGTACACATATTTTCAACTGTTGTAATGGAGTGAAACATTTCGTAACAGTGCTTAGTCATTCTAGTGGCTAACATATCTGCAGCACATCTGTTTTTGTGTTTAGAATTTTATCTTCTTCTGCATATTGTATAAACCGGAAGTAAAGCCATATATTTTAAACAGATGCTTTATGGTGTCTGTACCATGAAGCAGGCATTGGCTTTGCAACTGCCAAACCCAGACTCAAACCCTTGACATCCGAATAGTTTACGAAAGTGTTTAACCTAATAAATTACCTGTCCCCTGCCCCTCCTTCATGCTGAGTTTAAGTCGTAGGATTTTCCAGCAATGTGTAACGATGATGACTGCAAGATTACTTTTGAAAGCACGACAGGCTAAAGTTGCAGACCGAAATGCCAGTACTGCTTCCTGAAAACAGATAGTAACCTGATAACTGGAAAGGTGATAGGGTTCATTTTGTAGATAACCAGGTAATTGGTATTTGCCGAAAGTGTTTAAAACGATATATTTAAAATAACGGCAAAGACCAGTGGGTCTGTATAAATGAAACCTTAGCACAGAATCCATACTATATAATGAGAATGGTTTGATAACTACGGCCCTTGATGATTCTGCGATCCCTTCAATCTGTTAAAAATGACGCGTCCTGTGACCAGGAATCTTGCGAAAAATTGGGGTCTGAATCACCTAGGGACCTAGATGGTAGAGGTGATAATTTTTTCATAATCGATAAAAAAAATTAATAATAAAATATGCCATGGTGTTTTAATGGCATATAACATTTCACTGGAGAAAAAAAAAAGTTTTAATACGTTTCCATCGGAAATCAACGCCAAGAATCAATTATCCATTGACTAAATCATCAAAAATTATACTTATATAATACATGAAGAATGGATTTTATTTTCTGTTATAAAATGTACCATACTGTTATTCATCGATACAAATTAATATAATAATAATTACTGTCTGTGTCCTAATATCAGCTGATACAGTCTTTAAGTCAATACTCAGAATATCACGTGTTCCTAATATCCTTAGAATTACACGAGTGTGTCCTTATATCATCTTACACAGTCTTTAAGTCAATACTCAGAATATCACGTGTTCCTAATATCCTTAGAATTACACGGGTGTGTCCTTATATCATCTTACACAGTCATTAAGTCAATACTCAAAATATCACGTGTTCCTAATATCATCTGAAACTGTCCTTAAGTCCATACTCAGAATAACACGGGTGTGTCCTTATATCATTTAACACAGTCTTTAAGTCCATACTCCGAATAACACAGGTGTGTCCTTATATCATCTGTAACCGTCCTTAAGTCCATACTCAGAATAACACGGGTGTGTCCTTACATCATCTTACACAGTATTTAAGTCAATACTCAGAATATCACGGATGTGTCCTTATATCATTTTACACAGTCTTTAAGTCGATACTCAGGATAACACGGGTGTGTCCTTATATCATCTTACAGCCTTTAAGTCAATACTCCGAATAACACGGGTGTGTCCTTATATCATCTTACACAGTCTTTAAGTCGATACTCAGGATAACACGGGTGTGTCCATATATCATCTTACAGCCTTTAAGTCAATACTCCGAATAACACGGGTGTGTCCTTATATCATCTTACACAGTCTTTAAGTCGATACTCAGAATGTCACGTGTCGCCTAATATCATCTGAAACAGTCCTTACAATATGTAAGTCCATACTCAGAATAACACGGGTGTGTCCTTATATCATCTTACACAGTCATTAAGTCCATACCCAAAATAACACGGGTGTGTCCTTATATCATCTTTCACAGTCTTTAAGTCAATACTCAGAATATCACGTGTCGCCTAATATCATCTGAAACAGTCCACAAGTTCATACTCAGAATATAATGTCTGTGACCTAATATCAGACATGACGTACTCAACATGTCATTGCGGAGCGTTTTTGGTTTGTAATAGGTGGTTTGTACATCTTTTCACCTGTTTGCAGTTTCGAAACATCCGGTCTGTGTCTTCCAGACGCTTGACATGCGTTATCTGTTGACTTCAGCGTAATAATGTCTATGTCTCTAACTGCTGGTAAATTGCAGAAGAGCTCCGCACAACAATAAAACTGAAGAATCCGCTATTTACTGCCACCAAAGGAACTGTTCTACAAGGAGAGAAGTAACACAGACTAGAAGATATACGCGTCATCCGTACAAGTTTAAGCAGATTAAGAAAAAGCCACGGTTGAATAATAATAAAAAAATACTACACGGTGACATTTAAGCCGACTCTCTGTTGTGGCATTAAAAAGCTAACCAAAATAGGACCATTATATAAGATCGCTAAAATAAAACTTTATGGTGGCTGTGAAATGACATTTCTGTTAATCTCAATCAGGATCTATGAGCCGCCTTGCTATTTACCCGGTTTTAATGTGTGTATATAAGGAACTCGTAAAAACATGAGAGGTGTTGAAAATTAGATCTTTGAGGAGTTCTCGTAAATATGAATGTGAACGGGAGTTTTCTCGAATGTATACTGCATAAGCGTATATCAAAGTTAGTATAGATGAAAGTGTGTTTGACATTTGGATAGGTTGGGAAATCATTTGTTAGATAAGTCAACTACTACAGCTTTATAATAACTGAATATATGCCAGATATATGATTGCGCATATTTCAAGGTTCGAATGGAAATGTGAAAATCTTAAAAAATGTATTCAGTCAACATTAGATAATATCGTTGCGGTTATTCATGATATAAATAATGTTTATCTTCCCAAACAACTTAAATCATACTATTGTGTCATATCCTCCCGGATTATTCATAGCTTTCCGGGTATTTCATAGCTTCCCTAGTAACTCAGATCCTCCCTAGTAACTCATATCCTCCCTAGAAACTCATATGTCCCCGAGTAATTCATATCTCCCCGAGTAATTCATATCTTCCCCATTATTCTCTGCCGCTTACCATGTAATCTGTTAATCATGAGGCGCACCCTTTTTAACTGTACTTCACGTGTTGCAGTTGCTGCCTTAATATGAACGTAAGTAAACACTAGCACGTCGTAGTAATTAACCTGGACAAGTAAGAATCTGAATCTGAATGTATGTATATGTGTGCTCTACTTCTCACAAAGACGCAATCATCAAAACAGAAATGTTTACAATGTCAACTTGCGAAAGTGCATGTACTCGTATCTGTTAAGTACATTTTCCGCTCATTGCCATACACAGCCTATTTGTTTTACCTATATGACATAACAAAAACAACGTTCCTTGAATCATTAACTGTTGCGGTTCGATTTTGTTCTAAAATAAATAACGAGATATCCAGAAGTTGGTTCAGATAATGTTTCTCTGGAATGAAAAAGACGGCTATGGAGATCAGGCCTGAACAATGGTGTGTTAGATTTATTCTAACAAGTGTTTGGCTGATCGTCGACTCCACCATTGATTGTGTTCCACTATACAAATTGCGAAATGAATGAGCGATAACACTTTGATAATAAAACATACAGGGACACAAATTGGTTTATAAGAACTGCATCAACAGAGGATTGATGTTAAATTTTCAAAAATCACGTTCTTAATTTCCTTTGGGAGATAGCGCTGCTTTTTAGATATGAGGAATGAAACTGACTGGATTTGGGTTTATTTTCCTTTAATCGCAAACATTATTCATATCGATTTCTTTCACGTGCCGAATTTGAGTTTAGTGTGTGTAACCTTTGATCTTCGGAAGAAAGATGCTAGTCTACGAAAAGATGGAAAATCTGAAGCAGTTTGACTAACGATTGGAAAGATATATAGACGTTGATACGATTGCACATGCATTGACGTCTTCTGTCCTTGTGTGACTGCCATCCGGAATTTCCGTCCCGTCTCAATCGATGACACTTGTGGTTAGTTCCGACCAGACACTCGTTTGTCTTCTAACATCAAGTCTGCCAAGGGAGTCTGCAGTAAACGGCATAAACTCTCTTGACAGTGTATACTTACATATTTCCTCCCATAACCCGTTTGTATTTACATTATGCAACAAAGTATCAAACAGATCATGAGATATGCTGCCTACATATAGACTTCAAACCAATGGCTTTGGACAAATATACCTCTAGGGCGGTCTCCTCAAAGTGTCATTGCTGCTATTTTATAAATATGAATAGCATGAATTATATGTACAACGAGAAAATAATCCTGAATTCTGTATACCTGGCAATCTTTCTTGTTTAGATGTGCAACCTGGGTCTTGTGATGTTGCAATGATATCAGATATTTACAGACAAAAATTAAAATTATGAGAAAATAGAAATGATGCAAGTTTCAAATGTATTTTATATGATGTATATTTAACTCGCGAAAATTCGTCTCAGAAAATGCAGTAACAATAATAGCTCATTTTAAAGTTCAGATACAAAGATACTCACCTCAAGCTGCGGCAGCAATGTTCGGTTTTTCACAAGCGTTGGTGGTTGCCATATTCAATTTCGACTGAGACGCCATTCGTGTATCTACGTAATGAAAGATATGATTTAAAATATATTTTAGTATTCCTAGAACATCTTGTATCTGAATTGCGACATATGTATCTCCTGTGTTGCTGACTTGGTTGGTTCTGCGGATGAGTAGGAGGGGGTTTGAAAATCTCAAGCAGTATAAAAGTTGCCATCTTTCATTTATTTTAACATGCCATCCAACTAGAAACAAAACCCGAATCCAGCACGACTAAAATTCGGAATCAGGTACAAACTGATAATTTCAATTTGGCACCGATACACATATCCAAATAATTACTAATGTATTTGTCACGAACAGTTAACCAATACAGAACACCTGTGTGACAAAGAGGTTTTATAAACCCTTGAACTCTTATTCCGCATTGCACTCTTTACGTCTAGTGTCCACGCTTTGTGGATAAATGTTCGCTTCCCGGAGATAATTATATCCACGGGGTGGCGCTGCTCACTTTTAATGACGTCGCTGTAGGGTATATTTTATACCAAGTAAAGAACTATTACATCGACCTTTAAACTTTATTGTGAAATGTCCTCTCGAAAATAACTTATTCCATATCGTCGTTGACAAGGGATGCTTGCAAATAGCAGAAACGTCTGGTTGCACTGTAATGTGAGAGCGTTCAGACTGTTTAACTCGGTATTTGCACTTTCGTTCCAGATATAGTCACAAAGAACTCGTTCAGGTTGATACCATCATAGTACTGATATCTGTCCAAGGGTACAAACTAACTTTGTTTGTTCGACACTTGGTGACTCCAATCTTAAATCATCAATGTTAGCACCCATACGAGTACATTAATCTTTAAGCCAAGGGAACGGGCAGCTTTGACATCCACCGTGACTTCAAACGAAAGAGGAGGATACTGCCATTAATGTGCTCTGTTTTATCTATAACGAATGTGTGGTCAAAATAGAAACATATTCATTTTATTCCAATTCAATTTGTCCAATGAAATAAAATTAGATTGCTATGCGAGCATGTTTTTCCTGTCAAAAGTCGCCCTTTATTAACTTTTGTTCGCGTTTCTGGTTTCAATGTTTGTCATTATGATGATAAATGACTCCCTAATAAGGTATACAATACTTTAAAATAGCCCCGTATGGAGAATGGCCTCGCGTTATTAGGGCTTTGTTTTATATTGGGTATGCTGTAAAACAAGACAGAACTGAAATGTATTTATATAGTAATTTGACTTTTTGAATCGATAGAAGGAGCAAAATATTAACACAAGAGGACTAATACGTCAACGCAAGGGGAATAGGACCAGGCGTGCTGTAAGGCTGAGGAGTTCAGCTATAGCGTCGACATATACGACGCAGCGTCCTTATTACAGGGTTTAGCCGTATAAGAAAAGTAGTTATATCAACGCTTATCTTAATAAAGCAAGTAGCCAGCTCACGGTGTTTCTTTCAACAGGGATGTTATATTGCAAACATTTCCATTTGCTCTGCATCGGCACAATATAATGTTATTTATGTCAGTTGTGATTTGAGCGGACGAAAAACTACTTCAACAAACAAGCTATGATTTATGGACACATAACCATAAATTGATAATCACAATGTCATTACAATGATAACGTCATAATCTTAAAACATACCGATACTGGCACATTTGTGTTGCAGTATCACTAGATAACTGTACCAACTGAAAATGTTTGCACGATTCAATAAAAGCAAGTGTATAGTATTATTAACAGTACTACATGTACCGTTGCATGACCTCTGACCCCCAAAACACACACATACAAACATTAATAATCCTTTTTTATATTATCAACAAGAAATCACCTTGAAATTTAAGTCCGCGTATTCAGCGTCTAATATACGTCATGTGCTAACTCCAGCCACAGACATTTGTAACGAACCCCTGTGCTCCAGCCAATAGGCTATGTCTGACAGCGACGTCGTGGACGTGTCCTTAGAATATGGAATGACTGCTGTTTTGAATCAAGGCACATCATGTTTATGGCGGGCCACCGAAGCGTGTCTGCTATAAGATCCTTTAACAGGTCCTTTTCAACAGAACAAAATAATTCACTGTCCTCTCGAATTTACACTAGCGTCCATTGCAAGTGGCGAAGCAGGTGAAATCGTCCCGGCTCGCCGGCCAGTCCCCTCATCGATAGTAATACATGCCGAATGCTCAAACGATCAGCTAGTCCTGTTGACACGGACACAAGAATTCAGCCAACAGCATCTTTTAAATCGTCATCTGGTTTCTAAGGAAACTCCATATTGCCCGGATGTCCTTTCTTTCTCGTTGAAAGTCGAACCGCTTCGTTGCCTGATGAGCGTAGCCGCTGCACAACCGTTTTTTAACGGTCAGCTTTCTCCGCAAACACGGAATAAAATTTCTGACTTTTTGCAACTAAAATATCTTATATGGTATTTTTGTTTTACATTGAGATCTACTGTCAATTTTAAAGATAATCAAAGCTTGTTAAAGATGCTGGTAATGTAAGTTTAATTATTAAAAAATATGCAAAGTGGAACTATTTGTTTATTGCTCAACTGTGTATTTCGTCACCGTTGACAACGCATCATTTTTCCCGCGAAAAAGGCTGTTCAATTTATGTCGTTTTCATGACGGTGTTTTGCTTTTTAACGTGAAAAAAGACTATTTTTCTTAATTTCGAATAATAAAAGTGGATATAATAGAATGTAAATATAAGGTTTGAAATGCATCTTTTTAACATTTATGAGGGTATGCAACACAGTTCCGTTCAAACATATTCTCCAAGCTAAAGCGCATCATGGAATATGTTTGAACGGAACTGTGTTGCATACCCTCATATTAATTGGCGGTGGTTTTTTTTTATTAAATATTCATCCCAAATTTGAAAATAAAATATATCAATTATTGTCACACTTAATGAATGATATGAATGTATGTATTGAACTGTATTCCTTATAGAATGATATTTTTGTAATTCTACACAGGATTGCAGACAAAAATCCATAAAGCACATGCGTATTTTATGTAAGTTGTTTGCAATAAATTTACAATAACTCTATACAAAATATTGCAATTTAGCGCTTAGACAATGGAGCGATGTTATAATGAATCCTTTTGAAAGAAAAACTCTGGAAGCCCAAGCAGCATGTAATATTCGTCTCTCAATAGGTCTAAAGTTCATCATCTTGATATGGACAACTGAACAGCTCCAGAGCGTTGTTAACCTTGTATTAATTTAGCAACACCACTCTACCCGCGGTGGCCGAGTGGGAAAGGCGTCTCGTTCGACGGTCTACGATCACTAGCCCTCCACCACTGGGCCTTGGATTTGAGGCCCTCGTTGGGTAGTCGCCATATACTGGATATAGGTCGTTGGTTTTTCTCCAGGTTCTCCGGTTTTTCTCCACCACAAAAAATCTGACACGTCCTTCAATGACCATAGCTGCTTATTACACGTAAAAACCAAACAAACAAGCCAGACCATTTCCCCCACCCAGCTTACCTTGTCCTCGTAACGTTGTTTACTGTATTTCTGTCGGTGCCGGGTACTTCCGGTGACGTCTTCAGATGACATGCACTTGTTACAAGAGTCATATAATAGAATAATAATTAACTGGCCTACCAGCTACTGTAAAATGTTTTAAATTTCCCAATAAAAAAACAAATATTCTCGTCGATAGGAAATAAAGAATAACCTTATGCAAGGGAACTTTTAAATGAATTCTGTACGTGTATGGACATATATGTACGATTCTTTAGTGATATCTACTCCCTTTGTTTAGTCCAATATCAAAGAGAATTGACGACATAATGGATTGGCTAAATTACATCTTGTGAATAGCGTCACCCAATCAAAAGCTAAGTCTCGCTTTGTTAATAAACATTAATTGATATATTGGTGTACGCCAACAAACCATTCTACATAATATAGTTGCATCTGCGAACTGATTAAATCCTAATAATTTAAAACGGACCTGTTCTAGGTGTAAACCACAAACAGATAAAAAGATAAAAGGCGGAACAACATAGTGTGCAATGTTCTATCACCCTCTGCATAGAAAACGATTTTATAATGTTTTGTTTTTAGGCTTACACTAGTGTTCAACCGTTTGAAGGAAATCGTGTAAGAAAATATTTTTCCGTTCATGTTGCGATAATAAATTACATTAAAAGACAATACTATGTTTTCCTAATTAATCCCTTGATAACCGTTTTGTTCAATAAACTTAAATTGTTATCAAATCAAACGTGCTAATCTAATCAATGTTCTACAAACCCGTTACAAATTATAGTCTGAAACATCGTCTCATCGCCCTCCGAAATGGAAAACAGCTAATTATAAACATTGTAATAGACTGTGAATATCTCTCTACCGGGAATCTTAGTGTGTTATAACAATATCGAGGAAACACAACAAAACATGAGACTAGTGAACTCTCCTGTGTCTATTTGCATAAAATACAAACACACAGGGTGAGACAAATGGTTTTATTATCCCCATTACTGGTAGCTGAATGTATGCAACAAACTTGTGAAGTTAGAAATAGCGTTTCTTAGAGTCGAGATTACGTTGTGTACGTTTGATCATCAGCGTGCTACTTTGGTGGTGTTCTGGTGTTCTGGTGTTCTGGTGTTCATGGTGTTCATTGTGTTAATGGTGTTCTGGTGTTCATGGTGTTCTGGTGTTCATGGTGTTCTGGTGTTCTGGTGTTCATGGTGTTCTGGTGTTCATGGTGTTCCGGTGTTCTGGTGTTCATGGTGTTCTGGTGTTCATGGTTTTATGGTGTTCTGGCGTTCATGGTGTTCTGGTGTTTCTGGTGTTCTGGTGTTCTGGTGTTCATGGTGTTCTGGTGTTCTGGTGTTCATGGTGTTCTGGTGTTCATGGTGTTCATACTTAACAATGTGAAACTTTTTTTTGTAATTTCTACTTATTTTATTTTTTCACGAAAAACAAACTCAATTTATCGACCTTCGCTAGAATAATCCATAATCGCCAAGTGTCAATTTTGCCCTTTACATTTAATTACTATGCAGATTATGTTGTTTACTAATGTTCGCTGTGATGATAAATTCGCCCTCATTACAGAGGGCGAAAATTTTAATGCAGGGAATATTTCTGGTAAACAGCATATAGGATATGAACAGGTATGAATTATTTACTTGATGGGTATCATTTTACCGGAAGAACAATCATGAGAAGAAAAAGAAAATATTTGCTGCTGTTTGACAAATCGACATATATATTTTTATAAAATTAACTTATTATTTATCAAATTTAGATTAACAATGCATACCGCTTTTCAGTATGGTACGGCTGGATGACCTCATTGTGTCATCGTATTGTCCATAAAGTTGATAAAGTTTATGTAACCTTGAGTTTGACACGACGATTTAACATCCTGCCAGGAGATTGACTTCATACAATTACTGACTCTGTTTTATTGATGAGGTATAATAAACAGCAATTATTTCTCTGACTCGAAAGTAAAACAGGAATCGCAAAAACAGCAAACGAAAAGTAGGAAGAATGCTATAATAAAGTTTAGAAACTAAAAAAATATATATATAAACAATTATTTATTCTGGTTTTAATATCGACCTTTTATCTCTCTGGTTTCAATAATTTCTTCCGCGCCATGTTCCTTGTGATTGTGAATGTATCATGACAGAATGTTTTGCACTCTTAAAAAATACTTTGTGTGATATAAGCGGGTCATATGTATTTATCATTCACATCTGATAAAATAAAAACATTAACAAATACTGGTCAAGACATTGAGAAAATGACGTATGTTATGTATCCAAGGTAGTGTATTTTTCACGTACCTGGTCGATAACACGCAAGTAATCCAAACGCAATCATTTGTGAACCGACAATACATCAAAGTGCAATGCACACAAGTGCTCTTATACTCTTTAGTGTGTATCTGTGGTAATTGCTAACCAGTGTTCAAAATGCAAAAGTATTACTAAATAATTCAGAGTTTGTCGCAAATAAGCCTCTTTTATTGCTTGGATTTCGTGATGTTAGGCAGATACAAAGCTGTGTTTTCACCTTTCAAATACAAAATCTTTTCCGTGTTTCTGAAAATTCTAGCTGTCCTTTCTCTGAGAAATGGCTACATATTTGACGATAAAGGGGTAATCAGCCTAATACAATATGACAGAGATGTAATTTCCCTACGCAATTTGCATATTAGTTTGACAAGCGCCCTTCCGATCTAGATCAGCGCATCAGACACTATTGACAAACACACCAATGAACGGGATTTGGCAAACCTCAGACTCTGGCATTTCCAATAAATGTTCTAGTTCAATAAGCAGACTAACCTAGCAGTTAAGTTTTACGAAGTCATTGCTATCCCTCTAAACAGGCCATATATGGTATCCGATAAGGGTTTTTCATGATACAGGTGTTCATATAAATTATATACATGTATGTGTCGCCTACCGTCATTATAGCACAATTCAGAATTATAACGGAATATCATTTTGCTATCAGTACTGGTATATACGCTCCAACGGGTTTAAGAAAAACATATCTTGTACATATTATATACATGAGCTGTAAATGTAAATTTGGAATTTCATTTTATATCTTTTATGTCACGTGATCGATTTTAAATATACACGATGCATGTCATTAGCATATCACTATGTTATATTTTAAGATATACCTTTGAGATATAATCTTTTCCGTATGTATACATATTTTATCTATTTTCAAAAATGTAAAGATGGTTTTACGCTGATATATCAAAAATGCTTCATTATTTCATGCATATATAACAACGTTACAGTGTATGTTTCTTTTCGGTGTCAAAGACGTTCCAAAAAATCTATTAGTCAATTTGGCTAAGAATTCCGAAGATACGTATTACAATAATGTAGTTTCCGATTTAGTTCTGGACCCTGATAAGTAGCTCTGTTTAATCTAATCATTGACCTATCATGCATTTACTCGGCTAAATCGGTAAACGGAAACGATAAAATGTATGGTTCTGGTTGTAGGTGTTGCTGTGCACGTCGCGGCAAAATAAAAGCTGATAACGCTTGCATTTTAAAGTAGATTAATCATTTACATACAGTACACAACTTCACTATGTGTGGCAGTTTAGCGTACAGCTCACCAGACTGTACCAAACACATTGACATTCTCCCTACTATCAAACTAGCTAGCTGTGTGTTATACGTCCCTTTTCGTGTATGACAATAATTATGCGTGCCTATTATACTTGAACATATTGATATAGGCGGAAAATCACGTTAAGCCTTCAAGGAAACCAGTTAACTGAATTGAAAATCAAGAAATAGGCATTCGTATTGTTTGGTCACTGTTTAATCCTGTATGTTAGTTTAAATAATATTTTCATTTACAAATATGCAGTACATAATATAAAATTTTACATAATGTAATGTTAGGGATCTGGCAACAAGAGTAGGTTCTTACGTTAAGCCATCACTTCTGTATGTTGTTTTGACACTGTTTAATATTATTGAGTCACTAATTGATATATTATACGTTATTTTATGTATATAACGTATATTATTGTAGGGTCAATGTATGTTAAGTATCGTCGGTGCATAATAATGTATGCTATGTATAATCACTCTATCTTATTGTTTGGTTATGGTATGTTAATGTATGGTCACTCTCTCTTATTGTTTGGTTATGGTATGTTACGTATGGTCACTCTATCTTATTGTTTGGGTATGGTATGTTAATGTATGGTCACTCTATCTTATTGTATGGTTATGGTATGTTAATGTATGGTCACTCTATCTTATTGTATGGTTATGGTATGTTAATGTATGGTCGCTCTATCTTATTGTTTGGTTATGGTACGTTATGTATGGGCACTCTATCTTATTGTTTGGTTATGGGATGGTATGTATGGTCACTCTATCTTATTGTATGGTTATGGTATGTTAATGTATGGTCGCTCTATCTTATTGTTTGGTTATGGTGTGTTAATGGATGGTCACTCAATCTTATTGTTTGGTTATGGGATGTTATGTATGGTCACTCTATCTTATTGTTTCGTTATGGTACGTTATGTATGGTCACTCTATCTTATTATTTGGTTATGGTATGTAATGTATGGTCACTATCTTATTGTTTGGTTATGGGATGGTATGTATGGTCACTCTATCTTATTGTTTGGGTATGGTACGTTATGTATGGTCACTCTATCTTATTGTTTGGTTATGGTATGTAATGTATGGTCACTATCTTATTGTTTGGTTATGGTATGTTATGTATGGTCACTCTATCTTATTGTTTGGTTATGGTGTGTTAATGGTTGATCCCAGTATGTTATACTTTTATAGTTACACTATATCATAACTTTGATATCTGCCTATCATCTGTTGCGTGGCGTTCTTTGCAACGCCTGACCTCCGAAAGTGCAGCGATCTATGTCAGTTTTAGCCGACCTTGCGATTAACCAGTCGGTAGGGTGCTGGCAACCCATGGTCTAGAAAAATACATCGAGAGCTATCGAACAAAAGAGTTCCGAAAACAAATATGGTGCCGCCATTAGATGATGTTTTGACGCCAAGAACTGCTTGTTCGTCTGACAATAACAGCATATTGAGATTCAAGCATACTGGACATACATAATGTACATGCATCGAATGTTTGTTTTTGTTAGGTTTTCGAACATTCAAATAAAAATCATTAAGAAACCTGTTCAAGCATTTTCCCTGCATCTTTGCTACAACACCCGGCGCCTTCTGAAGGATAATGTGTGATTGGTGACTATTTAACGAATATTTATAAAGATGGAGGTTATCTAAATGTGACCCAGGTCGCGGCACTTTCAGGTGTTTGAACAAAGTACGTACTTATATAAATGACTCGATTTCCATCCGATTGACAGAGCTGTGTTTATTCATTTTATACATTTTACTATAACTTCAAAAACAGAATTTGTATCAGTTACGTCATTTTCTTCCCATGTTATTTAGTATTATATCCTGGAATCTTAAAACTTAAAGCTCAGTACAATATATAATAATGAATTACATAAAATGTTCCCATTTAAGCTTCATCATATACGTGGTATGGACTTTTTGTATGGAAGTTTTAAAGCTCGACCAATCTTCTATTGATATCACCAACGACTACTCTAGGATACGGGTTACAATATGCCTCCTAACATAGCCACGGTAGAGAGATCGACGGCCCGTGTGAACATTAGGGTGGAGACAACGGCTAATACATACGGCTACGCGCTTCACCATCTGTGTTAGATCGGAATATCAGTCTAACTATAGTTGAGTCCGAGCAATTCACAATCAATATGGCCTTACCAGGCAGGTGACTAGATACATCCGTACTAGGTTGTTATCATTGCCGTGTTAATGAACGAGACGAAGTGTTTTTATACCACAAGTTAAAGTCATTAAGAAACAATAACAGACATCATTCTACGAGAGTTTTTACGTTAATAAATCTACGCATATTTGCTATATCATCACGTGAATGAAGGTGGCAACATTTTACTAACCGTGTGTGTCGTGGTGGGATTCGTCCGTTTGAGCCGTCCTTCCCTCTGCTCCGTAGCTTTGTCTCTGTAGAAGAGCCCAAACCGTTGATCAACGTCCCTATACCTAGTGTTGCTGAACGAAGCTTATCGCTGTGTTTTGCCACACAATAATTGCGGAGATGTGTGAGCGGAGAGGTAGATAGCGTCTATTACACACTGAGCTAGTGAGAGTTGGGCTTCCTGACTTCTCCATAAAACTAACAGGGAGAAAAACATATCATACAGTGTTTACCGACTGGGAAAGAGGATGGCACCGTATCAATTCTGAGGGTGGATATGTTTTTAAGTTTATAATTTGTGTCTATCATCGCAAGGTAATTTGTTGTGATAGCATCTATCCTGATGCCGAGAGATCAGGAAATACATTTATGAGATGGTGGCCACTGAGATCATTGAAAACACACTCATTGAAAGCCAGGAATTAATTTTGCGGCAATAATTGATAGATTGATTTTCCAAACGCAATCAGGCCACTTATTGCCAACATATCTCTATTTACTTCACCAGCAGTGGTGGGAAAAGGAGGGGGACCCTTTTCTACCAAGCTTCCTACCTCAAGGGATAAAACGGGACTGTGATAGTGTTCGGCTCGTCGTGCTAGGCGCAGGTAGTTTGATTTACTACATAGTATAGGTCGGGAGAAATTCAAGCCAACCCTACAAGGAGTATATGATCTTTCACATCCAGCTTTAATTGTGTTAAAGAAAACTATTCTCGGAAACATACATCTGTGACTATGGGTTATATATGTTGCTGATACTCTGTGGAAGAATACGAAATGAAATAAATCTAATATGTGGAATGTATGTGATACCCTCTGAAAGGGAGAGTATATTATAACACTTCCAAGGAATGTCTGTGACAAAAAGACGTCACCTCCAATAGTGTCTAGCCGGTCACGGCTAATACGAAATGTCATTTTCACAGCGTCAGCTATCAGTGGCTTATCATAGCTTGGATTAAGCTAGCTAGCTAAAATCTGCACATAAGTTTTTTTGTGTCATGAAGTAATTATCCTGATTTTTTTCAAATTTTGGAATTATCTTCCATTGGATTGGATTAAGAATGTTTTGTGAAGAGTGTATTGTTCCCATTGTGTTTTAGAATATCCAATGGTGACATTTGTTTTATATTTGATAAATTCGTTTATTTGGGAAATACTCATGCTTGGATAGCAATAGAAGCTCATGCATTCTATGTGTGAATAATTTCTTTTTAAAACGTGGATTAAAACCATTGGTTTGTGAAAAATTCTGAAAAAAGCGACCATGGTGTCAGTTATTGTGCTAAGGCTTTGCCTCCTCTTTGTCATATTCCCGAATGGAAGTGTTGCTCCAGTCACCATTAAAAGTATTGGCTCTAAAAAAGTAAAAACACAAGCAGGTCAGTATCGAGGAGTACTTGTGGAGTTTCCAATGACGCAGTTGCGTCCCGTGGAAGCTTTCAACGGGATACCGTACGCCACGTTAAGAGGTGGCAAACTAAGATTTATCCCTCCCGCCAGTTTTATAAGAAACAGGAACAAGCTGATAGAACTGAGCCCTACAAATAGCAGCATTGTCTGCCCTCAGAGGAAATTTGACAAGAAAACATTCATGAAACAGATGAATGACGGTAGTTTTCGGCGCGTGCAGCGAGTGATGTCACAAAACCACACACGTAAAGAAGATTGCCTGTCTCTCAACGTTTATGTACCTCAAATAGGTAAGATTTCTCCTACTCTCCCATTCTACTTCCGGAACAGTCCAGCAGCTACGGTGATCACGCTCGACCACAAGCACTGAGTGTCTTATGTATGGTGGAATTAGTTTGGCACTCGTACACAATCCCTCCCCTGTTCCCCATTCAGCTTTACGTGATAATGATGAAGGCTTTAGGAATATAGGCATAGTGTTTTAATGTCACCCATATGATACAGGTTGAACAATTTCTAGGTCGTTATTGATTATAATAAGTAGTTATATTGTCCCATTGTACATTGGCGTTAACTCTTTAAATGTAGCCTATATATATTACGCCATATTACGACCTTGACAGATTCCCAACTGACCTATTCCACATTATGTTGACTTTGCCGGTGAAGAGGTAATAGCACGCTTAAGATAGCGTTATCCCACAATAAACCATGCTATTTATGACCAGTATCCTACCGGCTGGTGTAGATGAATTGCCGGGGATTGAATTACGTACCAGATGAACTATTTAGCCTTTCTGTCTGTCACATTCATTTCCATTTCGAACGACGGTGGTACTTATTTCGTATACATTATATTCTAGCTTATTTGTTTCTGCTGACACCTGCAGGTGGCGAATCTTATCGCCAAAGAGTTGAGAGCTATATACTTCTATAAGTCCATATTTGAATACCACTATTGATTTTTCCTTCACAACGAAAGGTAGGGGAGGGGTTAAGGGTGGGGTAAAGGAGAGGGGTATGGGTGGGGTAGAGGAGGGGGCTAAGGGTTGGGTAGAGGAGGGAGTTAGGGGTGGGGTTGGGATATTAGACAGAATTAGAGGGGGATGCTAAACAATCCCTCTACAGTCACGTTGTATATAAATCAACTTTAGCATGATGCCGTCCAATAAAGGAAATGAAATCACTATTGTGACGTTAAATGGCAAAGTAGTGTACAGAATGATTGCTGAGATGTCAGAGGTCAGAGGTTAGAGTGTTGTATGAAACCAGTACAGAGACGTTTTAATTCAGAGGTCATAGTTTTCTTAAGAATAATTACTGACGTACTAGAGGTCAGAGTGGTGTATGAAGCCAATGCTGAGACGTTAGATGCCAAAGTGTTATATTTGGCAAAATACTGGTGAGTTCTTCTGTTCCCTTTGTACCACTCAACCAAAACAGTGTCAAATTGCTGACGGTATGAATAATCTTAATACTGCTGTTTCGTTCGTTTTTTATTTATTTATTTCAAAAACACAATGCATTGGGACGCAAAGGATCGATTACTCCACATAAACGAGATAAGTCATGTATAGTAATATTACGAGAATGTTAAAGGGTCCAATCCAAGACAGCCTAGGCAACCAGATCGTTGATCAGATACCAAATCTAACTGAAAGGTTATTATCCTGGTTGTCCATAGCCATCCGCTAAAGACAATTAACAAACAATGCAACACGTGCTTACCAATAATACCAGGACAATGGGCTATGCCAAACACACATGCTTGTCTAGGTATCTTAATGTATATTATAAACGTTTTTACTAATACAACTGATAATTAGGTCATCAATTGTTCTGAGTTAACTATATGGTAAGGTTATTGATGACGACCGACTCACTGACTAATGACAAAATCTACTGAATAGTCATATGTGTATGTTAAACAAAACATGTATTGACAACGTGCACTATACACATAACATAATAACTAAATCCTACTTTGGAAATCTATCAACATCTTAACAAGAGGCACAAATGACCTGCCGCATCATTTCCCGCAGTATTACAACGACGTACACATTCCAACAACGTTATATGTTGTTTGTTTGTGTCAATAGGCTAAAATGAACTGAGAACAATTGCCACTAACAAATAAAATCATTCAAAAACCATTTAACTGGACTGATGTTTCGATTTGATTGAAATTTGCATTATTTATTAAATATAATATAAGTTAATTGAATAGAATTCAGAAATCTGTTGATTCTAAATGAGTTATATTCTCCAATCCTATGCCTCTGTCTCTTTCATTAATTATTTTGGATCAAATACCCCGAAGACAAAATTAATTGGAATTGATCGTGTGCTGTCCATTAGTATTAAATTACAGTCTTGAATAATTCTAGTTGCACTGATCAATGTTCATTTAACCAGATAATGTTCCCCTGGAAAGAGACATGTCGCTGTAATTGCGCTTTTCAATAACCACCCCTTCCTAAATAACGCCCTTATAAATCCACACTTGTTTTCTTCCTAAAGTTAAAACCTTATGGAAGTAGTCCTTAATACATATATCAGTGTATTTGTCTGTCACTTTCTCTAAACTCGTGTTAGTTTGTTTGTTTGAGTGGTTTAACGTCCTAAACTCTGTTGCCATAGTGTTCCTAAGATTAAGTTTTAAGGATCCCCGTACCACTGCCAAAACAAATGAAACGATGCATTCAAAACCTATTTTTCGGCATGACTATAGCTTTGACAAATACTATTTGATAAGAAAAGAACACCTTGCTTGACTTTAAGGAACACATAATGGACATGAAAATATATATTTTAATCAACAATCATGTTCTGAGGGTAAACTAGTGGGCGGGGCCAGACCGGGATTCGAACCCTGGACTTCAGTCTGTTATACCATCGCTGAAACTGATTGAGCTAACTTGACAATGAAAATAAATGATCCCGAATGACCTACAGTTATACATGTGAGTATATGCAAACGGAAGTTAAGGGGAGTTTTTTGTATATAGAGAAAACGGCAGTGCAGTGGGACAGAGGACTTTAATTTGATAATTTCACGAAGGACACACCAGCCTTAACAATTTTGTCAAAATGTCTCGTCCTTCATCTAGGTGACCTCTGTTAAAACATTTAAATAAAGTCTATTTGATGTTTGAAGAATGTTTATTTTGATCTACATTATTCTGTACTACATTATTTTTAGAATGCTTAATTGGTATAAGCTTGCTCGTAACCTTCTGCGGACATGCGGGGCATGTCTATCAAAATGATACCGTATCGGCATACTCATGTCAGACACGCCCTACATTTCTAAATTACTGTATAGAATTATTCAATTTTCCAGATATCTATATGTCAAAAACATTTAACAATTTTGCATTATATAATGAAAAAAAATATTACAAATAGTAAGTTTTTTTTAATTAAATAATTGTTCCTCTATGGTAAATGATACTTGTGTTCCCATGGTGTACACATTTATGCTAACACATACAACTAGCACAGACAGAAAATTTAATATATTTGAAAAATCGCATTTTTGTTAGCCACGATAAATGTCCCTGGCTCCGCAACAACTATTATAGAACCACATAGTGCGCTGTGTGTGAAATCAAAAGAAATTTGACAAACATATTTCAAATCAATAGTCAAAAAGGCATTTAATGTCTTTATAACATTTCCATCTGGGATGCTGTTTGGGTTTTATATTAATTTATATGATAATTACCTATATAGTATACACAGCTCTACAAACAAAACTGCGTTTTATGTCTTAAAGACAAATG